AAAAAAAAAAATCCATTAATCTAGCAAATAAAAATCACTAAAAATCTATAACTGAAACGATTGAACAATAAATCAAAAAGAGATCAGCAAAATCAAGACCTGCTCCATGGCAGCCTGGGCGGCGTTCATGAGCTTGGTGGCAAGGCCAAGTTTGCGGTGGGTGCGGAGGACGGCAAGAGAGGTGATGTGGCCGTGGCACTCACTGCTTTCTTCTTCCATCTTGGCAAGAACATAACCGACGATTCGACCGTTGTAATCCTCAGCGACGTAGAGCAACTGCGGCCAGGAGAGGATGTGGTAGAGGTAGTACTTCATCTGGTAATTCTCCGGCAAGCACAACAAATTGCAGGCCTGCATCGCCAGCAGATCGTCGATTGTAGCCTTGCGAATGCACACCATGGTTGACGAGCAGGATTTCTCAAAATTAGGGTTTTTTTGTTTTTTTTTGGCAATGGATGTGTGATTCAAGAAGATGAGCGGTTGTATTGATAATGAGACTTAATCGTTTTTATGTGATTTATTATGGGTTGGGTTGGGCCTTTATTTTTCATTCCGCTGCATCCCACCCAATCTTTATGAACAGGGCAGCAGCAGGAAGGCCTTCTAGTCTTTGGTCCAAAATTTGATTCTTTGGCACGTTTAGGTGAGTTTACAGGTAGCGAGGTTTTTTTGATATTATTTATATTTTATAAATTTAAATTATGTTTTAAAAATTTATATTTGTAAGTTTATTTAATTTAAAAAAAATTTTAATAATAAAAATTTAAAAATTTAAAATTTAAATTTTTTATAAATTTATTTTTTATTTATTTTTTACATATTTTTTTATTTTTTAAAATAATTTTTAAATTTTTTATTTAATAAAAATTTAAATTCATCACCTATAAAATACTAAAAAAATAAAAACTTTTACAAGATAAATCAAACAGGCTCGACTTAAAACCCGTTTCACACTGCACCTTTTGTTGGAAAAGTCTCCCACCCACCTCCTGCCGTTGTTTTAGAACTTAGAAGAGATAAGCATGAGATGAGCGCACCCACCTCCCCCCGTTTCACACTGCCGTTGTTCTAGAACTTAGAAGAGATAAACATGAGATGCTCCAAATCATGTCAGAATTCAAAGCTCGGAGGCCGGCCGGCCGAAACTATTTTCAAAAGAGATAAACATGGGCGATTTCTTTTATTATTGCGAAACTAATGAAAAAT